AAATGTATATCTGTCATCACTAACTACGAGCTGAAGTGTCCTCAGAAATCAAATATTGAAAGTTATACAGGGGCACCTGGGTGGCTCAGTTGGTTAAGCATCTGCTTTTGGCTCAGGTCATCCCAGGGTCCTGGGATTGAGTCCTGCTGTCCGCTCGTTGCTCAGCAGGGGTGCTACTTCTCCCTCTGCCTGCAGCTTCCCCTGCTTGTGCTCTCTCTCTGACAAATAAATAAGTAGAATCTTAAAAAAAAAAAAAAAAGTTACGGGCACCTGGGTGGCTCAGTCGTTGAGCGTCTGCCTTCGGCTCAGGTCATGGTCCCAGGGTCCTGGGATTGAGCCCCACATCGGGCTCCCTGCTCCGCGGGAAGCCTGCTTCTCCCTCTCCCACTCCCCCTGCTTGTGTTCCCTCTCTCGCTGTGTCTGTCTCTGTCAAATAAATAAATAAAATCTAAAAAAAAAAAAGTTATACAATAGGAGGGAGGGCAGTGTTAATTAAATGACAAAGAAAAGTTGAGTGATTAGGCAGAGATAAACTAGCCAAATGCAAATAAAATACAGCAAAATGTTTATATTATTGCCAGAAGTAGAACTGCTGGATCATATGGTATTTCCCTTCTTAATTTTTTGAAGAACTTCCATGCATGTTGTCCATAGTGGCAGCACCAATTTACATTCCCATCCAGACAAAGAAAAATTCAGGTTTAAAAGCACCAAATAGATACTGTGTATTTACTAGTTGCAGTTCTTGAAGATGTATAGTAATCACAAACATTTTTTTAAGAGATTTTATTTATTTATTAGAGCACATGCAGGAGCGGGGGAAGGGGCAGAGGGAGAAGCAGGCTCCCCACTGAGCAGGGAGCCTGATGTGGGACTTGATCCCAGGACCCTGGGATCATGACCTGAGCCAAAGGCAGAAGCTTAACTGACTGAGCAACCCAGGCGCCCCAATCACAAACATTTTTTAAATTGAGGTTACTGACGTAAAACCTTATATTAGTTTCAGTGTATAACATGCTTCAATATTTGTATATATTTGAAATGATCCCCGCAAGAAGTCTAGTTAACATCTGTTGCCACACAGTTACAAAGTTTTTTTCTTGTGATAAGAACTTTGAAGATCTGCTGTTTTAGCAACTTTCAGATGTGTAATAATAGTATTATATATTAACTGTAGTCATCATGCTGTATATTACATTCCCCAGCCTTATTTTATAATTCACAGTTTGTGTCTTTTGACCACTTTCATCCATTTTGCCCACCTCTGTTTCTACTTCCTCCCTGACTTACCAATCTGTTCTTTCTATGAGATTTTTTTTTTTAGGTTCTACACATGAGATCATATGGTATTTTTCTTTCTCTGACTTATTTCACTCAGCATAATGCCCTCAAGGTCCATTCATGTTGTTGCAGATGGCAAGATTTGCTTCTTTTTTATGGCTGTCCATATTTTAATCAGATTGTTTTTTTCTATTGAGTTGTATGAGTTCTTTAGATATTTTAGATATTAACCCCTTATCGAATACATGATTTGCAAATATTTTCTCCCAACTGGTAGGTTACCTTTTCATTTTGTCTATGGTTTCCTTTGCTGTGTAGAACACAGACCTTTATATAATACAACAGCAACCATAACCACAAAGCATCCATATAGATCAAACAAAAGCTCCAAGAAATGCAACTTAATTAGAAGACAGCTATTGTAAGAATTTAAAATACCCTTTCATAATTTAACATATCAAGAAGAGAAGACATAAACGATACAGAAAATTTGAATAATATAGTCAACAAGCTTGACTTTTGGATTCATTAGGATTCTATTTTGAGAATATATTTGAAGATGTGTTCCAGCTGACTGAGAGTGAGATGTAAGGTCTGAGATGGGAGAAATGGTGGAACTAATCTGGGATTCCAGTGAGAACAGGATGAAAGCTGAGGAGCATTTCTAGAAAGCAACTCATCCAAATTAGAATTGGAAGTTAGTGGGATCCTGAAATTATGCCTTAAAAAAATTTGAAATGGTCCCAAGAAATGGTATGATATAATATGATTATGAAACTGAGAAATGTTAGGGACATGGGGCAGAAGTCCTAAGTATCTTCTCCCATGGAAGGATAAAACAGAAGAATTGTAAAAAAGTCACGCTACAAATGTGAATGAAACAAAATGTCACATGAGTTGGAGTATTTGATAAAGTGTGTGAAAGAATCCATTTGAACTTCACCCTGGAAATACTTTATTTGTGGGGGGGCTGGCATGCAGTGAACTATACTTACAGAATCAGAATATAAGTACTGTTGTTCTTCACATTTTACATTCTGCTTTATAGAGTGCAAGAGGGAGTGCAAGAAGGTATCTTCCTTATGTTCATGAAACATTTAAAACTGTTGGTATATTTTGTTACAGGCACAACTTATTGGTGATTTAAAAAACTCAGATTTTACAGATTTCATTGTAATTCAAAGTATTAGTGGAAATCAACTGGACACAAAAACTGGGTACTTGGAAATATAAAGTTCTTCCTAAAATAAATCTGAAAATTGGTGTTTCAAATCACTGGAACCTTGCTGTGTGTGGCACGGTTGTGTGGCTATTTAAATTTAAGTTAATTTAAAGTTAAAAATTCTGTTATTTTAGTGGCACTGGGCCCATCTCCTGTTCTTAATAGCTACACGTTGCTGCCACCTTGGAGATTGTAGATACAGAACATCTCCATTCTGGTAGAGTTCAACTGGACAGTTCTGATGTAGGAAGTACTTCAAAAGAGGACACTTTATAGACTTACGGGACATAACTAAACTGGTAGCTAGAGGGAAATTGAAAGCCTTTAATAACTTGCATTATTTAAAATAAAAAAGACTGAAAGTAAGTGAACTAAGTACTCAAGACAGTAGAAAAACAAGAAAATAAACCAAAAGGAAGAGAATGAATTTTTAAAAATGCTGAATATAATGGTAGAAATAAAACAAAACATGCCAGAATTGATTAATAAAAAATAGAGATTCTGAACAGACTATAACTTTTTTTTTTAAAGATTTTATTTATTTATTTGAGAGAGGGAGAGAATGAGAGAGAAAAAGCACATGAGAGTGGGGAGGGTCAGAGGGAGAAACAGACTCCCCGCTGAGCAGGGAGCCCGATGCGGGACTCGATCCAAGGACTCCAGGATCATGACCTGAGCCGAAGGCAGTCGCTTAACCGACTGAGCCACCCAGGCGCCCCAGACTATAACTTTTGAAAAGGAAAATAAAAATGTATTTGGGGCGCCTGGGTGGCTCAGTCGGTTAAGTATCTGTCTTCGGCTCGTGTCATGATCTCAGGTTGCTGGGATCAGGCCCTGCATCTGGCTCCCTGCTCAGCGGGCAGTCTGCTTCTCTCTCTCCCTCTGCTCCTCCTCCCAGTGCTTATGCTCTTGCTCTCTCTCTCTCAAATAAATAAATAAAATCTTTAAAAAATGTATTTATTAGTCACCTTATTTAGATGGCATTTCAGCTGAATTATATTTTTTTAAGAGATAGGCTATACTTTTATTTATTCCAATAAATAATGGATAGTTTCTCAGTATATTTTTCTGAAGCTAGTGTAATCTTATACCAAAACTTGGCAAAGGTAATTTTTTTAAAAAGGGCCAATTTTTAGTTGCAGAAACTCTAAATGAGATTTAAGCTAATATAATTATATACGAGTGAAAGAATAGCATTTTTTTGGAATGCAAGGATAGTTCACAGTAGGAAACCTATCACCATAATTTACTGCGTCAACAGATTAAAGGAGAAAAGCCGTGTGATTCTATTAGTGAATGCTGACGATAAAATAATTAAAATACTTAAGTGCAATAAGAATTATGAAAAAAACTACTCTAGTTATGGGAGTAATCATAGCACCTGCCACAGAGGGTTGTTGTGAGGATTTAATGAATTAACATGCGTAAAAATACTAAGAGCAGTGTCTGGCACATAGAAATTATTCAGCGTTAGCTCTTTTTATTAAAAAAGATACAGTTGATATGCAAAAAAGTTGGCAAATGTTGCATTGAATGGCAAAACATTTTGATTAAAATGTAAAACAAGACAGAGTTGTTGGTCTTCTTACCACTGTATTTGGAATCACTTTTGAGGTTGTTTGATTTCTCTAATACAATAAAAGTGGAAAATGAAATAACTGATATAAACACTGAAAGAGGAGGTGAAATACTTTGAATTACAGATTATATGATTTTCATATGTAGAAAATCCAAGAGACTACTAAAGACTAATAAAAATACTCAGAGCTAAATTTAACAAAATGGTTCTGTAGCAAGAAAATGAAGAAAATGATTCTATCTTTAGGAAAGTCAAACTAGATCTCAATAAAAATTGTCATTTCTAAAATTAACATAGGAATTTCATTAATTCCAGTTAGAATCGAGTGTACTATTTTATGAAATTGGATAAGATAAAGTTCGTTTGTAGAGTATATTTCTGAAACTGCCTAACAAAATGCGCTATATATTTAATCCTATTTTTGTTAATAGTCTCTCCACCTCCTCCCCACTATAAGCACATATTTGTATGGAGAAGTTTAAAAAGAAAACAATCTTGACATTTTCATGACATTTTCCTCCTTAACCTCAGTGTAGATGGGAATCCATGGAAAGTTAGAAGTGTGATTATATACTATTTCTTTATATATTTTTTGACTCTCACTGGTTCCAAGGAGTACATTTTACTTATTATTTTTATTTGATCTCATTTAGAGATCAGTTAATAAAGTTTAGTAGCTTTTCACTCATTAGAGTTGTAATCCCATTTTAGGTAAACTGGGATTAAAAACGTATCATTGATCGACTTAGAGGAGATTTTAAAGAAATATCTCATATTTTTTTATACATACTAAAAACTGAAATGTATTTTCTTTTAGCTTTCCTGAACATTTGATGCTTTCTATAATGGCATGACTAATTTGTAACTCAGAAACTCTGAAACGATTTTTTCCCCCTATTTTTCCTGTCTCTGTCAAAGGTATGCAACCACTCATGTATTCGGTTCAGGAAGCATTAAACGCCAGACCATGGTGGATTCGTGTGGGAACCGACATTTGTTACTATAAGTAAGTATTCTAAGAATAATAGGACATCAGCTGACAGAAGGAGATCTTAACTTCATTCTGTTTAAATTTGAAGATTAGAAAGTGGAGTCATTATTGCATTATTTGAACTGTGGTGATATGCTTTACTGTTACCTCTAGCAGAGTCCTTTAAAATTTGAGATTTAGGGCGCCTGGGTGGCTCAGTTGGTTAAGCAACTGCCTTCGGCTCAGGTCATGATCCTGGGGTCCTGGGATCGAGTCCCACATCAGGCTCCCTGCTCAGCGGGGGGTCTGCTTCTCCCTCTGACCCTCTTCCCTCTCGTGCTCTCTGGCTCTCATTCTCTCTCTCAAATAAATAAATAAAATCTTAAAAAAAATAAGATAAAATTTGAGATTTATTGAGGTGGTATATTTAGTGGAAACAAAATGTGTCTTAAAGACAGACTTAGTCCAAATCTTATCTTCACCACTTAGATAGCTATGTGTCCTCAACTTTTTTAGCTTTAAGGCTCTGGAAACTTCATTAAATAAAACTAAAATTAGGAATTCTAGGAAATAATTAGCAGTGCCTTTTTGTTTTGATGATATTAAGTACAGTTCTTATCTTTTCTCTTTTGCATGCAAATATTTGCATGCAAATATTTGCATGAATTTCCACAATATTTTACGTGGAGATATATTCCAAAGTTACATTATAGCAGCCTATACAGTTCACCGTGACCTCAAATAGGCCATCTACTTATCAGTCAGAAATAAGTGCTTGCAATCATTTATTGCTTCTTTGGAATGATTGGATTATTCTTCAGCCTCACATCTAAGTAATCTGGGATTATCATATACCTTGCTTCCTGTTTTTACTGTTTCTGCATGTAATATGTTTCTAGATAACTTCCTCCACCAAATGCATTTGACATCCCTGTCTTTTCTCTGTTATTAATCTTAATTCTGACATTTTTGTTCAGTGGATTTTGGGTTTTTATATTGTATTTAACTAGCTCTAATGTTCCTTTTTTAATCAGAAGACTTCTGAAATTAAACTTTTTATTGGTTTAAGACATGACTTTGGAAAAACCTAGCTCTTAAGTGCTATTACTTTCTAGAGAAAGTCCGTGTTTCCTAGAATTCATCTCAGCAGGTTTCCCCCCTACTTGGAATAGCAAAGTAAGTAGTAAGTGAGGAATAGAAATGTAAGATGGTATGCAATTCATCTGTGCCTGAATACATTTCGTATTTCTTTTAGTGGTAGGCTAACATAAAAATATTCTTATTTATCTCTTTCTCTTAAAGTTGGAATAGAAATCGTCAATCAATGAATGCTTTTCTTTTTCACATTGTAAAGTGAATGGTCATAACATGACAGGTGGTGGTTCTGTTTTGTGTAGGGGGTGATGGCAAGGAGTTTTGTTTGTTTAGTTTTGTTTTTATTTCTTCTTTTGGCTACTTCCAGACCTGGAACTGGAATTCAGGTCAATTCGACAGACGTTTATTAACTATTTTCTGTGTAACAAACTATGCTAGTTGCTTTCCTGAAGCTGGAAATCCAGATAGGATTAAAATCTGTCTTTGCATCTGTCTTAACTTTTCATGTCAGCCAAGTCTTCCGATGCTTCTGTCTCATCTGCACAATGGGAATAAAACTACTTCCACCAGTCTATGAGAGAATATAACTTACAGACTACCATATAGCTGTAATGTGGTATTATCAATACCTCTCCAATTAGATGTTAATCTTGGGGGGGGAAAGAGTTGGCCAAAAGTTCTGGAACTTATTTTGTGTTTTCCTCAACCCATAGCACCTTGTCATTGAGTATTCAAGATATGGTGGCTACGTTAATGAAGATAATACCAGTTTGAAAATACCATGCATGTGTATGTGTGTGCAAGTAAATAAACTGTTGGTCATGTCTTTTCTTCAGTTCATGACTTAAATAATATAAGATGATTTGAAATTTTAGAAATTAGGTTGATAGACAAAGCCCTGTTAGGCCATCAAATGTCAGTGATATTTAAAGTCTGGAAAGTAATGTGTAGTTTTAAAAACAGTTTATTAGGGAAATCTTCAGACATTTACAAAAGCAGGTAATAGGATAATGAGACCACATCTATTCATCACCCAGTTTCACCAATTATCAACACGTGTTTAGCTTGTTTTAGGAATACTTTCACTCCTACCTCTACACTGAATTTTTAAAAGCATTTCTAGGTATCATATTTATCAATAAATACTTCAAAGATCTTTGTCTTTTAGAGATTTTTAAAGACAGTCTAACCATAATGCTATTATCACACCTAAGAAAATTCCTTAATATGATAAAATATCCATTGTTCAGACTTCCCCAGCTGTCTCATAAGTGTTTTTTTTCCTTAAGATTTTATTTATTTATTTTAGAGAGAGATACAGAGAGCATGAGAGAGAGAGAGCACGAGCAGGGGGGAAAGGCAGAGGGAGAGGGAGAAGCTACCTCCCTGCTCAGCGGGGAGCCTGACATGGGGCTCCATCCCAGGACCCCGAGATCGTGACCTGAGCCGAAGGCAGATGCTTATCAGACTGAGCCACTCAGGCACCCCTCATAAGTGTTGTTTTATAGTTGGCTTGTTTTAACCCGACCAACCAAGGCCACACATTGCATTTGATTTTTGTTGCTATGTCCCTTAAATCTCCTTTAATATGTAGGTTTCCCTTTTTTTTTTCCTATTATTTCTCCTTTATTTGTTGAAGAAACTGGGTCATCTGTCATGCAAGATTTTCCACATTTTGGGTTTTGCTGGTTGCATCCCTGTGGTGATAATTAATTCTTCTATCTCACCGATTTCCTATAAAGTAGTAGTTAGATCTAGAAGCTTGATCAACTTCAGGTTTGATTTTTGGCAAGAATACTTCATAGATGGTGCAGTGAATTCCTCTTGCGTCATATCAGGAAACACATCACGTCTGGTTATTTCTTTTTTTGTAATCTTAAGATTAATAGTGAATTTAGTTATTGTCCTCTGATCCATCCACTTGAAAGGCAGCCATTAGCCTTTCGTCTAGTGGTGGTAGCAGTTATTGATGATAATTGCTGAGATCCAGTAATGTGTGTGGCTAACAAGGAACTAGGTTCTAAACTTTTTTTGATGTGTAGAGTCTCAACTCCATTTAATAGTAAATCCAGAGGTGAAAACTAATGTTGGCTGATAGCAATTAACTGTTGCATTAGTACCAACTCTAATTTTTATAAAATATTTAAGCTAAACTTTTTATAAACTGTGTGGGTTTTTTCCCCCCTGAAGTTCTGTGTAAAAGGTGGTAAGGAAAATCAGAACTTTTGTGTGGAAGAAATAAACATGTTTTGTGCTTTTCTATTGCAGAAATCACTTCTCAAGAAGTTCAGTTGCTGCAGGTGGGCAAAAGGGAAAATCCTACTATACAATTACATTCACTGTCAATTTTCCACATAAAGATGATGTTTGCTACTTTGCTTATCACTATCCATACACATATTCAACTTTACAGGTGAGAACTCATTAAGTTGTATTATGGCTGTTATTGTGCTATATACATGTGTCAGAGAATTGGAAAAAAATGGTTTTAATGAAATATATTAATAAGATGAGAAAAAATTGCTGAATATTTTAGAAAATAGTACAATACTTGTTGAAAACATTAAAAGGAGTGAAATGGGAATGTAGTCTTTATTTTTATTTAGTAGAAATACCAAAGAAATTTGAAGAGGTTTTTACTCTCCATCTTTGTGTAGAAATCTATAGTTCTCCATGATTTACACATTTTAACTAGATGAGATTTCCACTTGTTTTAATGAGAGGCATTGAAGCTCATAGAAAATCTAACAATAGAAAAATATGTAGGGAATTCATTTCTTTTAGCGGTTTGATGTGAAGTTCTAGGTCCAGATTCTTTAGAATTTAGGATATAAAGCATTGTTTTGTGTGGGTTCTTTTGAGGTATTTGAGTATTTGCATTGTAAAACAAAACTGAAAAATGAATTCGAGTAATTACTGTGGTAGATTTTTTTCTCAGTTCAGAATGTCTTTCCTAATGATCAAGGATCATAGAGGTATGATCAGTTTACCCAGAAAGAAATTGGAACACTGTGATTTAGAAACAAGCTTCCAGATTATTAGGGGAAAAGGAGAGAAAAACATACTCTACTGAACTGAAGAGATAACGAGGCTAAGAACACTGAATGTGGCTGACTTTATTTTAATAAAGGTTACAACTTACAATAAAGGTATTACCAGTTATCTTTCTGTGCCAAATAACATAGCATCAGAATATACAGTGTTGTTATTCACAGGGTTGTATATTATTGTTCTTTACTGACGTTACCTTTTTAATACATTTTAAATTCCCCCCCTTTTTTCCAATGCCACTACCATGACCTTTGTAGGCATTACTGCTGCCTCTCCTCTGGACTTCCGCCACTTCTTCTCACTGGTGTTCTAGAATTCACTTCTATCCCTTTCCTCTTCATCAGTCTTTCCCCGACATGATAGCAAGAGGGCTCCTTGATGGGAAGATCTGATCCCATAAATCTCCTTCTTAAAAGCTCCTTAGTGATTTCTCTTGCCATTTTTATGAAGTCTGAGATTCTTACCATGGTTCATATCATCATTTCTCTACTATTTTTCACAATTTTTGCCATATCCATGTACTGTTTAAACTATTTACATACTTAATATTTATCTTTTTTTTAATGGATTAATTCTTTTTTTTTTTAAGATTTTATTTATTTATTTGAGAGAGAGAGAATGAGCGATAGAGAGCACAAGAGGGAAGAGGGTCAGAGGGAGAAGCAGACTCCCTGCTGAGCAAGGAGCCCGATGTGGGACTCGATCCTGGGACTCCAGGATCATGACCTGAGCCGAAGGCAGTTGCTTAACCAACTGAGCCACCCAGGCGCCCTTTAATATTTATCTTTAAATGGACTTTAACTCTTTAAAGTTTATCCTCATCCTAAGTTAATATTTGTGGTATTAATTCACAGTAAAATATATGCCTGTTTATTTTTTGTTAAGGTTATCCACATGTCACTTTTCTATCTCAGTTACCAGCCATACACATATATGCTGTATCTTGTGAAAGAATGGCCTGTGAGGCCCTTCAGTCGCTGTTAATTGTTTCTCACCCTTCCTGGGCTGGCTGCAGGGCATCTTGGGTTGGTTCTTTAAGATGCCCTTCCTCTTTCTTTGCTTTCATCCTGGTCTTCTCATATACTTTCCTTCTGCCTACAGCACTCCCCTCTACCCTCCTCACTCATCCTTTGGATCTCAGTTTGAATGACTTACTTTAGGAGACCTTTTCTCACTGTCCAGATGCAGCTAGGCCCCCGCCCCTGATCACAGGCTCTCACAGCACTCTGTATTTTCCCAAAGGTAGGGTCTATTCATTCACTGTTACATCCCCAGTGTTGGGTACAGTTTCCCGCACAGAAATAGCAGCCACATAGTAAATTGTGATTATATGAACAGACATAGGCAAAACTTTGGAAACCAACTAAGTATCTTAAAATAAGGAATTGAACAATTATGTGTGGTATAACCATATACTAAAAACATTAAAACTTGTGTTTTCAAAAAACACGTATTTCATGTGTTGAGTGATAGGATATAGTGTTCGTTATTATGAATGTGTGTGTATAAATTATTAAGTGATAAAAGCAGGTTACATTGGCATTTGTTAGTAGTAATCTAGGTGATGCAGTTATGGGTGTTCTAAATTTTTTCTTTGTACTTTCTGTGTCTTCTAGACATTTTACAATGAACCTGTATTAATCTTGAAATCAGGAAAAGTTGTTAAAAAAATTTGTGCTACATATTTCATTCTGCAGGTCTATAGTCACTTACAGTTTGAAAATTCAGAAAGCTTTGAAAACCAAAAGCTTTCTCATAGCCCATTTGGCAGCAAAGCCTGGCCTGAATTGATGTGAACTTATTTAGAATATTGATTCCACTTTGAGTGACTCCTCGTATGTTTTGCTGCAGAAACAGTAATGTACTTATTACAGGCTGCTGCTGGCCCCACTGGGGTATTGCAGAATTAATGGCATATGCACCATATCTATCCCCTTTCTCAGCTGCCTCAAAGAACTGATGTTTAAACTACCTCTGGCTCCCTGAGGGTTTCAGAGAAGGAATGAGGAATCTGATTTACTTTTCGTTATGTGGAGATCTGGATGCATTTATTCCTAATTATCCTAGGGAGTTTTTAAATGACTGTATACTTTGCTTTTAAATTTTTATCAAGATGCATCTTCAAAAATTGGAATCAGCACACAATCCGCAGCAAATCTACTTTCGAAAAGATGTGTTATGTGAAACCCTGTCTGGAAACACCTGTCCCTTGGTGACTATAACAGCAATGCCAGAGTCTAATTATTATGAACATATCTGTCAATTCAGTAAGTCTGTCTTCTTCACTCAAAATACCAATTATTCTTATTTTCCTTTGCTTCATATATATTTTGTAAGAGCAACAGTATAGGAATAGGCATTAGAAGTCTTGGGTTCTAGTCTTGGTCCTATTACTGCCTAGCCCTCGGCCTACTTCTGGGCCGCATTTTCCTCATTTCAAAAACGGGGGAGTTGTGTGAGATTATCTCTGAGGTCTCTCTCAATATGAATATTCTGTAGTTCTTATCCTTAGAAGTCCTACCCAAAGTATAATACAACAAGATGTTTAAATTTTAAGTGTTTAAAATTTAAATTTCACAATTAAAAATGTACAATAAACTGATTTTATTAAAAATTTACAATAAGCTAATTTTATTAAGATTAGTTTATTAAACTAATAAAATAATTTTATTTATAAATAAAACCACCAGAAACCTATCAAATGCTTTGATGCTAGCACTGAATAGCTACTTGTTTTTTTCCCTGCCATTTATATTTTTAAAGTTGTCTCAGATGTACAGCTGTAATAGAAAAAATTAAAAAACTCCAATTTTGATAAGAAGGTAAAGTATTTTCAGGAAAGAGAAAGCTTGCTATGCATGAAAATATGAGCAGGTGGGCTGAGTGGTTATATTGTAGACCTATATATCTAAATGTATGCTGAAAAATTTTTCATTGTAAATCTCTGAACAGATATATCTTATTGTATCTCTGCTTATCATAGCAACTATAAAACAGGGGTAAAACGATATTTTCCCCCATGACTTTATGAAAAATAAATTTATATAGAAAGCTTCCCCAACTACTTGTTCTTTATAAAAAGCACTATTATATAAAAGACCTAGTTTTATATGTCAGATTAATTATTGAGAAGTAAATAAGTGACTCAAATACTATTTATTGTGTTATGTGTTATGTTCATACTATGAATTTCTTTAGGACATGGCCTATATGGGTTTTATCTGTTTTCTCTATAGGGCCTAGTGCCATTCTTGTATATAGTAGGTGCACAGGGAGTGTTGCTATGAATTTATATCAGAATTCACAATTGAATAGAAATATTTCTAAATCCCCAAAGTCAGACATCACACAGACTCTTAGTAGCTGTTCATTTTAATTTGAGATTTTATGTGTACTTTAGGAAACCGCCCTTATGTTTTCTTATCTGCTCGGGTACATCCTGGAGAAACTAATGCAAGTTGGGTAATGAAGGGAACATTGGAGTACCTCATGAGTAATAACCCTACTGCCCAGAGCCTACGAGAATCCTATATTTTTAAAATTGTCCCTATGCTAAATCCAGATGGTGTCATCAATGGAAAGTAAGTGAAGCAAATGTTATAGAAATGCTATAAACAATGTGGCTGTCTTGAATAAACTGGTCAAAATCATAGCATCCAGCTTAATTTGGAAAACAAATTGAGTGATTTTTCTAGAACAAAGAAATTGTTGGTGGGGAATTCATCTAAGATAAATTTTTAAAGGAAAATACATTTTTATATATGTATATTTTGAGAAATTCTGTATTCCATGAGAATATGATTTCATAAAATGTGTCTTGCTTGAATTGTTTTAGAAAAAATCATTGTCAGGATATGAGAAAGATTTTTAACATATCCTCTTATATTTTTGTTTGTTTGTCAGTGGCATGATCTTGGGTTGTTCTAAGATTTAGAAACTTCTGGGATCTCTTTCCACTAATACAGGTTGGCTCTACCTGCTGACCTCTTCCTTATAGGAAGAGGTGTAGTTTTGACAGAAAGAATTCTTTAGACTGCAAATACTAGAAGATAACTTCTTTTTAAGTGGAGATGGCTTACAGTTAGTGCAGTTTATTTTTTGCGGGAATTAGGAAAGGTCTCTGTTTCTGAAAGATGGGAATTTGGTCTTGCTGTCACGAGCATCTGCAAAGCTGAGGATACCATATTTTATTTATTCAATAAAGGTAGAATGGGTATTTCTCATATTTTAGGAAATTTTTGAATGAAAAAGCCAGAATAATTTCCTTTTAGGTAGTGTGTTATGAAATTAAAATGAGATTTTTATGACTGGTTTTAATTTAGAAGAATATTGACCAGTTAAAATTGTGTTTATATTTCTGTTACCACCTTCTGGTAGTTTGCTTAAATTTTTGCTCAGTTGCTTTAATACTTAATACTTGCAATTAAATGAAAATATATTTGAATTTTTGCAAGAATGTAAACTTTTCAGGCGCCTGGGTGGCTCAGTTGACTGCCTTCGGCTCAGGTCATGGTCCTGGAGTCCCGGGATTGAGTCCCACATTGGGCTCCCCGCTCGGCGGGGAGTCTGCTTCTCCCACTGACCTCTTCCTTCTCGTGCTCTCTATCTCTCATTCTCTCTCTCTCAAATAAATAAATAAAATCTTTAAAAAAAATAAAAAAGAATGTAAACTTTTCATATACTTCTCTTTTTTAGGAGGACCCAGCTCAGGTAGCACTTTCTTTTTTCTTTTTCTTTTTTTTTTTTTAAGTAGGCTCCATGACCAGCCTGGAGCCCAACGCGGGGCCAGAACTCAAAGCCCCGAGATCAACACCCAAGCTAAGATCAAGAGTCAGATGCTTAACCGACTGAGCCACCCAGGCGCCTCCCCCAGATAGCACTTTTACATAATAACTAATACAATCAAAGTACAGGATGTTAGTATATAACAAATGATTATTATGTAGTCAGAATGGAAAATGTGACCATTAATAAATTTTATAGAGCCTGGAATAAGACCCCAGAATTGAGAATTAGTTTTTTCCTTTTTTTAAGATTTTATTTATTTATTATTTATTGATTTGAGAGAAAGAGTATGTGTGCACACAGGGTGGAGAGAGGGGCAGGGGGAGAGGGAGAGAATCTCAAGTAGACTCCCCGCTGAGCTCAGAGCCCTACGCCAGGCTCGACCTTAGGACCCTGAGATCCTGACCTGAGCCGAAATGAAGAGTCAGAAGCTCAACAGACAGCCACCCAGGTGCCCCTAAGTATTTTTTTTTTCAATAGCTTGAAAATGTTGGCCTAAATATCTGAAAACACCACAGTTAAATGCATGTAACACAAGATTTTACACAAAGCAAATAATAAGTGTTTAGTGACTAGTGTATTTACAGGAAATAGTTACTGGAATAGAATCATAAAATTAAATATATGTAAGAGTTTATCAGTACTAATGTTTGCGGTTGTGTTTACATATGTGTAGTCACCGCTGTTCTTTAAGTGGAGAGGATCTGAATCGACAATGGCAAAGTCCAAATCCAGATTTACATCCTACAATTTACCATGCTAAGGGACTGCTACAATACCTGGCAGCTGTGAAACATTTACCACTGGTAAGTATTTGTACTCTGTCTAGTCAAAGAAATGATATTGTTAATTAATGACTCATTTTATAACCATTTTCTGGTTATAAAAGTTAAATGTTAATTTAAAAAGTAATTTCTTTAAAATACCTTCTATTATCAATTACTTCTGTTATCAATTACATAATATCAGTGTATTATGATGTCAAATTAATACAGTGTATCCATATTATTTCATCAGGTTTAACTTTTATAGTTCCCATGAGCTCTTTATTTTTTGTTTATGAATATTTGTAACTCTGGGTGTAAATTTTAGGTATTTAACTTCACTGTTCGAACAACACTAAAGTAACAGGATGTATCTTCCAAATTCTCAAACTAGTAGAAGCTTATTTCTGAGTTCTTTAGTCAACGCTGAATCAGGTTAAGTCTCCAGTATACATATGAAAGGTGGCATAGGCATAGTGGTAGACTACCAAACTGTGTATATATGCTGTTTTCTGCAGAAAGTTTTTGTGTAGAATGTTCCCATTATATTATGGTTTAAATGAGGTAATCTTCCTTTGGGAAAGATGGGAAAACTTTAGAGAAGGAGCAGCATTGACATGCAAGCCTGTTCTTTATTTTTCACTTTAAAAATGATGCTCTTAAAAATTGAATTGAAACCATACCCTTTTTTAAATAGTGTTTTTCATGAGAGCATTTTCATGTTCTTTCAAATTAGGTAAATGTTTTAACAACCCTTGGATCAGTGATGATTGCTGCTGTAGATTTGACCTATAATTGAATTTATTATTTTTTAAATGATGAACAGTAGATACATAAGAAACAGTGGAAGTCATGGCTTGATGCAGGCCCTGGAAAGGATTTAGCCATTCTGGAATTAATCACAGATCCTTTCCAGAACTAGATATTACTACTTTTATTACTTCTACTTGTTAAATGATGGCTCAGTTACAATATAAAGGGCAAAGAAACACACCTATTTATTGTCTTGGTATTAATAGCTTTATTTGGCACTATATGAATTTGAAGTTTTTTAATTTTTAAAATATATTGTGTTTTCAAGGTTTATTGTGATTATCATGGCCATTCCCGAAAGAAGAATGTATTTATGTATGGATGCAGCATCAAAGAGACCGTATGGCATACCAACGATAATGCAACTTCATGTGATGTTGTAGAAGATGTAGGATACAGGGTAATTATTACAGATAAGTCTGGAGTTTTTGGAGTTCAAATGTGCATATACACTACAGAAAATAATTTAACATACACGAACTACTCAGACTCAGCAAGTGTTGCCATTTTGCCATTTTTTTCTTGTTTCAGATTTTTTCAAGTTAACCATTCTAAAATTTTTGCTTTTCACATTTAGATTTTTAATCTATTGGGAATTTATTTTTGTATGAGGGTTGGGGATCTAATTTTAGTTTTCCCGTATATAGCCAGTTGTCTCAGCACCATTTATTAAACAGTACATCCTTCCTGTGCCAATTTATAAAGCCATCTGTTACATACCATGTTTCCACACGTCTGGGTGTGTTTTGAGGTATGCCCAGGACTGAAAGATCTTACTGCTTCACATCCTGGGTGCTCTCCATTCGGGCACAGTGGCTTTCCTACTGTATTTGTGCTCAAACAAAGCACCCCAGGTTATTTTCCCAGAAGAGTTTTAGTAGCGTCCACTGCTGTGAGCAGAAATTCAAAGGCACATTTTCTTTTTGGTGTCCTCTTTCTTCTTCCCCTTTCCCAAATAAATAAAATGATTAGAGTTAAATTAAAAAAGTGGGAACACTCCAGAAACAAAGAGTAGTGAGTAAAAGTCATCTTCTGTCAATCACTAATCATTTGTACCAATGTATTGTGAGATTTGCCTCTAAGGACATTCATTCTTAAATGTATATACATGTAGCATATGAAGTTCTGTTTTTATTCTGACACCACAGCCAGTATGCACTGCTGTGCATTTTTATCACTGTACACATGTGCCAAAATTTGTTTAGTAGTCCAGCTACTACTAGTGGTTGTTTGATTAGTATTGCCAGATTGTCCTACATAAACATGGTGTAAGTCGATAGTGCCCCGTACAGTGACTGACGGTGCTGTTCCCATACCCTTACTACAGCATGCTGTCACCTCTGCCAGGGAAGAACTATCTGATGGTTTTCATATCTGTAATTATAAATGAGGTTAAGTATCTTTTCATATGTTTGGCCAATTATGACCTCTCCCTCTCTTTTAAAAGCCTTTTCTCATATTCTCTGCTTACTCTTATACTGGTCATCTAATTATTATTGTTTTTAAGATAACTCTTTATATGTATTACAAATATGCTGAAACATTTTTTTGTGTGTGGTAATTTAAAACTCACATCATATTTGTTGATTTTTTTTTAATGACTTCTGAGTTTTGAGGCTTAGAAAGACTTCTTATCCCAAGATTTAAAAAATAAAGTTCCATGTTTACTGTTTTTAATTTCATTTTGAAATTTTACTAATTGTAAGTTTAAATTCACAGTGTGGTTAGACTTGAACGTACTGAAGAGTGGCTTCAGCTAGTTTCTCTCAGTGGCTCTCCAGCAGTGCCAGCAGTTAGGGAGTGATCAGCCTTCTCACCACTAATCATTCTAATTTTAACACCTGCCTTTGGTTCCAGTTCGGAATTCTCTTTCTGGAGAGGTATCTACTCCAACACAGTATCACGATTTTACTTCCCTTACATATATAATCAGGTGAATATCTGTTGGATTGTTTCTGTAGTCAAAGCCTCCTTCAGAGTTCCACTGGCTCTGCCCCTGTACTTAACACACTCCAGGTGAACCTGAGAATAACGTGAAGTCAAAAAAAAAGGTTGTGGGCATTTTGATTGTGATTGCCTTAGCCTTATTGATTAACTTAGAGGTGACTGACATTTATAATATTAAATCTCTTAATTAATAGGCCATCTTTCATGACTAAAGTTGCTTTGTTTTTTAAACATGGTTTTTTTTCATATTTTTAAACATTTTTAACATAGTGTTCGTTCATTTATTGGTTGCTACTATGAATGTAATCCTTCTATTTCCTAACTGGTTACTGTTCATCTAGGAAAACAGAAAATTCTAAATTAGTAAGGAATGATTTTGATGCTTGGAATAGCAGGGGATAAAGCAAGAAGATCCACATGGCCCTACTCTAATCACCATGTTTTCATGAAAATTTTTAAAAATTACAAAAAAATTATTTAAAAAAAAAACCTGCTTGAAATATTTTATCATTCTTATCTTTGCAGACTTTGCCTAAGATACTGAGCCATATTGCTCCAGCATTTTGCATGAGCAGCTGTAGCTTTGTAGTAGAAAAATCTAAAGAATCCACGGCACGTGTTGTAGTTTGGAGGGAGATAGGAGTACAAAGAAGCTATACCATGGAAAGTACTTTATGTGGCTGTGATCAGGGAAAATACAAGGTAAAACATCTCAGGACTTTGGTCAGTAACAATTATTTTAAGGACTCCCTTTTCATATAGTATGCTGGTGGTTTTCAAGTATAAAATGACACGTTCGTTATACTGAGTTATATGTAATTTGCAAGAATAGAATTAAATCATATGCAATTCTTTTTTACTTCTCTGTACTTAAATAGCTTGCTTTTGGTCTTTATGAAATCTTGGTTGAGACTGTCTACATTCATTATTTTTAAGAAGGCATGTTGTGGTACACATTTAAATATTGATTGGTAATTTATAATGAGTTGTGCAAATAGTACATTATCAATAAAAATTTTCTATCATTTTAATTTGTTGGATATAAGTATATTTTTCTGCATTTAGAAATAAACACATTACATTTATTTATAAAGTTTTGTATACTTAGATTTGTGTGTGTGTGTGTGTGTGACTTTTAAATGCATATCCCTTCACTAAAATGTTTTCTTTACTAAGACTGCTCTTCTCTAGTGTTATAGACTTTTTTTTTAAGTTGTTTTTATTTGAGAGAGAGAGAGCACGAATGGGAGGGGCAGAGGAAGAGAGAAAGTTTTTTTTTTAAGACTTTATTTATTTATTTGACACAGAGAGAGAGAAGCGCACACGCGCAAGCAGAGGAAGTGGCAGGCAGAGGGAGAAGCAGGCTCCCCGCAGAGCAGGGGGAGCCCGATGCAGGACTCGATCCCAGGACCCCGGAATCATGACCTGAGCCGAAGGCAGTCGCTTAACCACCTGAGCCACCCAGGCGCCTGGGAGAGAGAGAATCTTAAGCAGATTCTGCACTGAGCCTGGAGCCCACCGCTGGGCTCAATCAAGACCTGAGCTGAAACCAGGAGTCAGATGCTTTACTGACTGCACCACCCAGGCGCCCCTGGTGCCATAGACTTTTATTAGAAACAACTGGAGCTTAAAGTTTACTTTTGAAATTAAAGACTAATAAAATATTACGTGACTTTGAATTTTTTAATTTGAAAGATTGAGAACCTAAGGAGCAATCAGTCGGAGCTTAGATAATCAACAGCAAACAAATAAATATGACAAGTACTTATTTTTTTTGCTACAGAAAGATTTTCAGGTGTCATGCTAATTATTCCTTATTCTGTTTGATTTGGTTTTGTATAGGGCAAGAGGAAACTGAATCTAAGAGTGATTTCTCACGTAAAAATGGTTGTAACTTTGTTTGGAAAGAGTTAAAAATCTCCCAATTGGTTAGTATTAAAAATGTCAACATATTATAGTGGACTGAAAAATGTCAACATATTATAGTGGACTGAAAGCTTAACTTTCAGTCTGTACCAAACTGGAGTAAAATTGTATAGATCTTGCAATTGACATTCAAACTTTTGGGGCCTGGTAGAGTAAAACTTAATGAAATTTCAGTACTTTCTGTTGAGTGACTTCCCTAAATTTTAGGTTGACCACAGTATATTATTTTTCCAAAATGTAATGTCCTTTGAATTCTCTTCAAATACTGTAGAACAGTGACTTCTCATCTGCTAAGGACATGATGGTGATAAGAGATAAGATGTCCTAGAGCACTCTAGCTCCCAACCCCTGTCTCCTAATCATTGCTGTCATGGACAGCTTTGCCAAGAGTCTCATATTCTGTAAGTGTGTAGGATGGGAACAACGCTTGAGAATCACTTTTGTATAAGACCATAGGTATCTCTGAGGAAAAAAACCCTTAAGCTGTATGATTTATGGAAACAGACTATAAATTATGTCTTAAAGAGATCCTTTATGCAGTCAGACTGGAGAAGGCAATTTAAAGCATTAATGTCTTTGAAACTGGCCTCTGGGGGCAGGAAGAGAAGTAGAGAAACTGAGGTTTGCATGCCCCTTGAAATCAACTATGGGATATAGCAGTAGTGCTTTCTTATTATATTTGGATTCTACTGATAGACTTTCATTAGATTTTTTAAAACATTCTATTTGTATTTTGATAAATTTCTTTGGTCATTTAAAAAAACCACATTTAAAAAATAGCTAAAAAATATATTTTGAAACATAAAATGTTAAAGCAGTTTTCCAAACTTATTTTTTTTAAATCTATAGACTTTAAAAAATAAAATGGGTACCTAGTAAATACTCATTTCTTTTTTATATGATTTAAAGTTAATAGAGTTAATGTTGATTTAAAACCCTTATGCAGAGAAATGTCTTAGCATTAAACCTTAACAGGTTTTTTTTTTTTTAATGTCTAAAATTCAGTGCTGTGATCATAACATTTTCTTTTTACAAGCTTTTTTATTATTGTTAATAAACTTTTTTTTAGAGCAGTTTTAGATTCATAGCAGAATTGAGTGGAAAGTACAGAATTCCCATATACTCTCATCTGCCCCTACACACGTAATGTATACTTTTCAGACTTGTTAATGTTAGCTAATAAGTTGTGTGAGTTTAATGATATTTTAAGAAACAGTTCTCTTCACATCAAGAATGTTCTTATATTACTGAATTTTAGGCTGTAAATGATCTTTATTTTTACTTTCTGTGAACTAATTCAGAAACAGTCATAGCCTTTCAAAAGCTTTTAAATTAAGAAGGCAAATGAATCTTCTAATAAAGTTAGGTTCCATTTCCTAGAATATTTAGAGATGGGTAAAATACTTAAACCGTCAGGCTACCGGAGCGCCTCTGTGGCTCAGTTGGTTGAGTGTCAGGCTCTTGGTTTCAGCTCAGATCATGATCTCATGGGTCATGAGATCGAGCCCCACATCAGGCTCCCTGCTCAGTGGGGAATCTGCTTGAAGATTCTCTCCCTCTCCTCTCCCCCTCCCTCTCAAATATAAAATAAAAAATAAATCTTTAAAAAAAATAATCATTAGTATAAAGACATGTGCTTTGTGTAGGGTTAAGTAACAGTTTTTACAATTTATTTCTTGAGTTACTGTGTGCTTTCAGTCTCGTCTTTGTAAAGCTGTTTTAAAGTACCTTTTCTCATGATGTGTGCTCTCATTTTCACCTGCAACTTTTTTTGGTGTAAGGATTTCACTTATTTTAGAGATTCATTTTTATCTGAAAATTAAACAGTAAGCAATGTTTTGATTTATAGTCCATTTTTATCATTTTATGTGGTAACATTTAACTTTTGATAAGCCTTATATTGTTTCTTGGGAAACTGTCAGTTAGAAAAGGGTAATAAGTTGCAGTAAAATTTTCTTTTTGCTGCAGTAGACCAGATTTGAAATGGGCATTCCTAATCGCCATGGAACATAGGAACTTATTTTACTGCTACCTCATTGGCCTAAATCTGTTTGATTTTTTTTTTTTGACATAGTTACCTTTCTTTTACTTGTTTTTTACTTACCAGTTTCTTTTATCATATGGTAAAAAGTGTCTATATATGGTAACGTTCAGATATTACAAATTTGGGCTTTGATTTTGACAGTACAGTATTTCAACATTGGCATCCAAAGTAGTAGATTACAAGAAATACTAGCAAAAATATAATTTCACACATGAACTCCAATATAACCATAGAATGTTTATTTTTTTCCCAGTGTGTTAGTGAAAATAGTTTGCGTGTAATGAATGGGAATAGACATTTAGAATTGGTTTTTTGAGTTTCCTTTGTGACCTAAAATGATCTTATATTGTTAAGACATTGTGCTTATTGAGTTGTAGGCCCGTACAAAGTACCTTTTAATTTTATTAATATAATTATAAATTTCTTTTATGTGATTATAATAAGAAACAGCCAGAGGACAGCAAATGTCCTAATTACATATATGAAATTGCTTTATTTCTAGGGTTTACAGATTGGTACTCGAGAATTAGAAGAGATGGGAGCAAAATTTTGTGTTGGTCTGTTGCGTTTGAAAAGACTGACGTCCCCATTGGAATATAATCTGCCTTCCAGCCTGCTTGACTTTGAAAATGACTTGATTGAATCGAACTGCAAAGTAACTAGGTAAGACACACTTGTTTCCTTCTGTTATTATGTTGTAGTATACTGTTAGACTTCGTTAAATTAATTAAGGAGGAAAGGCACAGAGATTTTGATAGCCAAGAGCATTTTTAGAATTAAATAATTAAGTTTAAACATCTAGGTTATGTATTTATTTGTTCCAAATTGTGATAATATTCTTCGTTCTTTTAACATTGATATTTGGATGAGATTGTAACGAAATATCCTTATATTGAATGCCACTTTTAGTGATCTTAATGGTTTACCTTTAACCCAAAAATAAGCAATGTGGAAAACAGTACTTAGATAATATCTAAATAAGAGGACTTGGAATCAGGATTCATATTTGAAATTTTATTTTGTTGATATCTACACACATCAAATGGCTTTCCAGTAACAGTCTGGTTACATATACTGAAAACAGCTAATTAATTTAGTATCCCTTTGAAAATTTAATTATATCTGTGAAATAATATTCTCAATAGATAAACCTTTGCTCCTTAAATATATATAAAATTTGATCAGTTACAGGCTCAGATATAATTCAGTATTATAATTCTTAATCATAACACCAGACCTTAGCATTTTATAGTTTGATGGATATGGGTAAGAATATGCTCATTTTGTAGAATCTTCATGATTTTTTTTGTTAGATTTGACTTGTCATTTGTCAGTTTATTGCTCTGCTCTGTTACATATATTAGTTTAGGAGTTTTAAGTATAGTAAAACATTAATTAGAACTCTGTTCTTTTTAATATGATAATTGAGACAGTAATCACCTGAGTTCTCTACTGGAAGTAAATATATAAAGATTGTCAGTTGTTCTGATATTTAGAAGCCTTCCTTCAAGTTATTTCATGTAATCTTTTTTCTCCCAGCTTTATTGAAGTATAATTCACAAATAAAATTGTAAGATTTTATGATGCTTTGATATATGTATACCTTGTAAAAGGATTGCCCCATTGATTTAATAACATATCCGTCCATCAGCGCACATGTTTACTCTTTTGTGTGTGTGTGTGTGTGTGTGTGTGTGTGTGTGTGTGAACGAATATGATCATTTCAGTTCTCATCAAATTTCAGTCATACAGTCTAGGATTATCAGCTGTAATCACCATGTTATACATTACTTCCTCAGGTCTTATTCATCTCAAGGCTGAAAATTTGTACCCTTTTACCAATCTCTCCTTTTTTCCCTACACCCTGTACCCCTGGCAACCGCTTTCCTACTCTGTTTCTCTGAGTTCCAGTTGTTTTTTTGTTTTTGTTTTTGTTTTGATTCTACATGTGAGTGACACCATGTAGTAACTATCTGTCTTTGTCTGGCTTATTTAGCATAATGCCCTACAGGTTCATCCATGTAGCAAATGAAAGGATTTCCTTCTTTTTAAAGGCTGAATGATACTTCATTGTATATCTGTATGTTACATTTTAATTTATTCATTCATCCATTGATGGACACTTAGGTTGTTTTGATACTTTGACTATTACGAATAATACTCTTTGAATATGGGAGTGCAGATATTTCTTTAACAGCTAATGATTTTATTTCCTTTGGATCTCTACCCAGAAGTGGCATTGCTGGATCATATGGCAGTTCTATTTTTAATTTCTTGAGGAACCTCCATACTGTTTTCCATAGTGGGTGTACCAGTCAACATGGTGACCAACAGTGTACAATTGAGCACCTTTTCGTATATCTGTTGGCCATTCATATGTCTTCTTTGGAAAAATGTGTATTTAGGTCCTTTTCCCCATTTTTAAAAATTGGGGAAATTCCCCATTTAAAAAAATTGTTTTTGCTTTTGAGTTGTGAGTTCTGTGTATGTCTCGTATTAACCCTTTATTGGATGTGTGGTTTGCAAATATTTTCTCCCATTCCATAGGTTGTCTTTTTATTTTGTTGATGGTTTTCTTTGCTGTACAAAAGCTTTTTAGTTTGATGTGGACCTACTTGTTTATTTTTGCTTTTATTGCCTTTGCTTTTGGTGTCAGAAAAGAAATTATTGCTAAGCCCAGTGTCAAAAGAGTTTACCCTCTGTGTTTTCTTCTAGGAGACAATATATCATACTTTCATATCGTGCTTTCTAGTCATTAATCTGTTTTGACTTGATATTTGTATTTGGAGTAAGGTAGGGGTCTAGTTTTATTCTTTTGCATTTGTCTATCCAGTTTTCCCAGCGCCATTTAATGAAGAGGCTGTCTTTTCCCAATACATATTCTTGGTTCCTTTGTGAAAAATTAATTGGCCATATATGCAGGGGTTTACTTCTGGGCTCTCTATTCTCTTCATTGATCTATGTGTCTGTTTTGATCACTATAGCATGATTGTTTGAAATCAGGAAGTGTGATGCCTCCACCCTTGTTCTTTTTCAGAATTGCTTTGTCTATTCAGGGTCTTTTGTAGTTCAGTTGTTTCTTTGAAAAATGGCATTGACATTTTGATAGGGATTGTATTGAATCTGTAGATTGCTTTTGGTAGTGTGGGCATTTTAGCAACATTAGTTCTTCTAATCCGTGAGCACAAACTATCTTTCTATTTATTTGTATCTTTCAGTTTCTTTTATCGCTCTCTTACAGTTTTTGTCTTTTATCTCCTTGCGTAACTTATTCCTGTTTTATTCCTTTTGCTGCTATAGTAAGTGGGATTGTTTTCTTCTCTTTTCATAGTTCATTGTTGGTGTATAGAAATGCAGCTGTTTTTTGTGTATTTTGTTTCCTTGGCATCACTACTGAAATTGTTCATTATATCTAACATTTTTTTTTGTTAAGTTTTTAGGGTACCTATATGTAATCTGTCGTCTGCACCGAGAGAAAATTGTACTTCTTCCTTTCTGATTTCCATGTCCTTTGTTTCTTTTTCTTTCCTAATTGCTCTGGCTAGGATTACCAGTACTAGGTTAAATAAAAGTGGTGAGAATGGGCATTCTTTTGTTGTTTCTGATCTTAGAGGAAAAACTTTAGCATTTTTCACTGGATATGATGTTAGCTGTGGGCTTATATCAACTTAGTATGTGGAGGTGTGTATCGTCCCCTTTCAGTTTTTATCATGAATGGATATTGAATTTTGTCAAATATTTTTCCTGCATCTATTAAGATAATCACATGATTTTTATTCTTCGTTTTGTTAATGTGGTGTATCACACTGATTGGTTTGCAAATGTTGAACCATCCTTGCATCCCAGAGATGAATCCCACTTGATTATGGTATATGTTTGATCCTTTTAATGTATTGTTGAATTGAATTTCCTAATACTTTATTGAGGATTTTTGCATCTAAGTTCATCAGGGTATTGGCCTGTAATTTGTTTGTTTTTTTGAGTGAGCACTTTGAAGGTATCCTTTCACTCTCTTCTAGCCTGCAAGATTTCTGCTGAAAAAAAGCTGCTAATAGTCTTACGTGCGGTTACTTTAAAGATTTTCCCTGTCTTTAGCTTTGACACTTTAATTATAATGTGTCTTGGTGTGGGTCTTTTTGGATTCATCTTTTTGGGTCTTTGTAAATCTGGATTTCTGATGTCTTTTTCTTTCCCCAGGGTAGGGAAATTTTCAGCCATTATTTCTTTGAATAAGCTTTCTGCCCTTTTATCTCTCCTTCTGGGAACTCTGTAATGAATATATTGGTTTGTTCATTGATATCCCATAAGTCCCTTAAGTAATTTTCACTCTTCATTCTTTCTTCTTTTTGTTCCTCTGTTTGGATGAATTCTACTGCCCTTTTGGAGTTTACTGATTCTTTCTTCCATTTGATCTAGTCTGCTATTGAACCCTCTATTGAATTTTTCAGTTCATTATTGTATTCTTCAGTTCTGTGATTTCTCTTCAGTATTTTTTCATATTTTCTCTGACTCTCTGTTGAAATTCTCACTTTGTTCATGCTTTGCTCCTGAATTTGTTGAAAATCTTTATTACCATTATTTTGAACTCTGTATCAGGTATATCACTTATCTGTATTCTTTGAGATCTGTTTCTAGATATTTATTTTGTTCTTTTGTTTGGGATATATTCCTCTGTTTCTTCATTTTCCATTACTCTCTGTTTTGGTTTCTGCACATTAGATAATCTAGCCATCTCTCCCAGTCTTAGCAGAATGCTCTTGTGTAGGAGATGAACTTCATTGATTATTCTGGCTTGAGTTCCTAGTTGTGTCTCAGACTTTTGTGATAGCCCAAGCCTCTTTCTTTGTTTTTAGTGGCTCCCAGTAGTTGAGGGTGCTAGGTCATAGTAGTATCTCAAAAAGGAGGATCATAGTCAGCACTTAGATGCAGAGTGATTAGAAGCTGGACCTTCTAGCAGCAGCTAGAAAAGCATGTAGTTTAAACCCCTTCCAGGGAAAAACTGGGAGATGGGTATTTTTGCCTATTCCCTTTGTGCGAGTCTGAGTATATAGCCGTAGGAGGTGCCTCTGTGCCTAAGAACTGTTTCTTTGTTACAGTACATGGGACTCATGAATGCGAGCCCTGTTGGCTGCTAGAGCCAGGCTGTCTGTAGGTCTGTGTCTTCAGTGACAGCCACAAAAGCTGAGGTGTCAGATGTATGTACAACTCCTTTAAGGGTGATATGGGTAACTTGCTTTGGTTATTGGAGCACCCTGTGGGGAGAAGGCAGGATATATATCTGCTGGCTTCCCCAGTCTCTGAAGACGATGGCAGCCCACAGTTCCTGCTAAATTAGAAGTCTGGCCCTCAGGCTGCAGCTTTTAAAATATGCAGATGAAACTTTTTCAGTGAAAAACTGGGAGATGGGCAGTGTGCAGAACGCACACACACACTATATATGTACATATGCGTATATGCTTGTGCATGCCAGTTAAGACTTGCTTCTTTGTTTATTATAGCCTCGTAGATCCTGTGAGCACAAGTCCTGTTGACCGTCAGAGCTAGGTGTTTTTTCTAACCAACCTTTAATTCACCCATGCTTTCTTTAGCTGAGTCTAATCTGATACAAAATTTATCTTTCTAATTCTTAATTGTATTTAATTAGGAGGATCAGGGGAAAAAAA